AATGTGTTATCTATTTCTGACAATTTAGTATTACTTTTCTGGATTTCTATCTGTAGATTTAGAATCATTTCTAATTTTTCATTTATTTTGTCATTCTTCTAGGGTTTTGTCTGTTTTCTCCTTGGTCTGTCTCTCAATCCTTTGAATATACCTAAATATAAGTCTTTTGAATTCATTGTCAGGAAGTTCCAGTGCTGCTTCTTCCTCAGGGATGTGTTCTGGGTCTGTATCCTACTTCCTTGTTTCTACCACTTTATCTTGCTTCTTTGTGTGGACTGTGATGGTCTGTTTGTTGTCTCTGAGACATTGTGACATTGTTGTATTTAGATCTCTATTAACTGTTTGTGAAGAACAGCTAAGGGTGAGTCAGGCTCTTGTTGGTGGTTGTTTATCGTTGGCCCATTGGTGGAGAAAGAAGTGGTGGCTCTCACTCAGTAAGTGAAGCGTTCCAGTTGTCTGCGTCTGGAATGTCCTTGTGGTTCCTGGCAAGTGGAGACTATTCTTAAGTCCTTGGAATCTGGGAGAATGCTGTCGCTTTAAATATCGAAAATGGTCAAACTGCTTGTAAACATTCAAAATGGCTGCACTCTTCAGACAGGCAAAAGTCCACAGCTCAGCCCACCTTCCTCTCCTCTGCTTCCTCTTTTATTCACCAGCCATCAGAGCAGTGTTCTGTGGCATCCCTGGCTAGCAAGGCTGATTTTTAGGTTAATTATTAGGTCCTACCACCACTTTGCAATATCCAACCTGTCTGTGTCATCAGGATCGGTGCCAGATCGCAGCTCTGTATGTCTCCTTTTTTGTTGTTTTCATGCAAGTTCTTCTGCTAGTTGGAGTTTAGTTCATTTCTATATCTTTCCCTTCAAAGCTCAGGGGTCCAGAATTATCTTCAGTATCTGTGTTAATTGGTCCCCCTTTTCTTTGTTGAAGAGGGTCTGTGCAGTCTTTCTGCTTATCCTGCCATCTTACCCTCTAACCTCCCAGAGGCAGTAATCTTTACGGAAGTACATTGCCCAGTCTGCCTTCCATGGAGCGGCTGGTGGTTTTGATCTGCCAACTTTCCGGTTAGCATTCAAATGCCTTACGCACTATGCCACCAGAACTCCTTATGGCATAGGCTAAAGGGAAGAAAATAGGTAAACTAGAGCTATGATTTAATCTCTTCCATGCTGGACAGGGGTTGAGTGGGAATACATGAGCTTTTAAGTGTCTTCTCTGGTAGCACAGTGCCTAAGGCATTTGACTGCTAACCAGAAGGGTGGCAGTTCAAACCCACCAGTCATTCCTGAGAAGGAAGGTTGTACAATCTACTTCTGTAGTGATACCTCCTCCAAAATCTCAGGAGGGGTCACTATGAGTCGGATTCAACTCGATGGCAGTGAGTTTGGTGATAGTAACTGAAAGAGAAGGTAATTAGCAATCAGATGGATCTCCATAACAAAATAGAATTCTCAGTGAATTTGGAAGGAAACTTTGTTCAACTATTCATTGCTAAAGGAGCTCTGAAAGCAGGATACCAGTCAAATACCCATCAAAGTACAAAGTGTCTTTGTTCTAAGTAAGAATAGCTCTGTTAAGCAACTTTCCTGTGGATCTCGGACCTAATCAGAGTCCTTAGTAGGCATAGGTAGGAAAGAATAGCTGTTTCTCCTACTGGGTATATAAAGTTATAAATATAGGACTTTTGTAATATGGAACAGAATCCCAACATTACAGCCTGTATTTCTCAGGGTTTATGGGTAGATGTTATCATGGAGAAGTCCCTGGGTGTGCAAATGGTTAAGAACTTGATTACGAGCTGGTCCATGCTACTAGTTTGAGCACACCCAGAGGCACACAGGAAGGCAGGACTGCCAATCTGTTTCTGAAAGGTCACAGCCTTGAAAATCCTATGAAGTACTTTTACTCTGTATGCATGAATTAGAAGTGACTCCATGGAAACTAACAACAAAAAATTATCATAGAATGCTATGGGCTCACAGTAGATCTGATCAGAAACTTCTCTGCACAAAAGCACAAATGTCAGCCAACAAGCTGCCTATCCTGATAAGGCTCCTAAAGGGAAGTCCTGTGGATGCAGATGCCTCAATGCATTATGAGTGGGATGGAACTGATAGGAAAGGATTATTTTCAGACTTTATGGAATCTTCCTGAGACCCACCTTGTACAAGACAGCCTTATTCATCCTAAACACTAAAGGCACCAACTAAGGAGTGAGGTATGGTTCATGAGGTTTTCAGTTGTAACAAATAGCTCTGACATTACTTATGAATCTTTAATCCATATATAGAATTGAAGATCTGCCATGTATAAAGCTTATCTCAAAATGCTGAATCCTCATCAAAATAGAATGAACTTTTTTGTTACATAATGATCAAGTTGATGTTTTCACTTCCTTGTGTTTCAGAATCACCCATGCTCGTGTTTGGAATGAACAACCCATGAGAGTCAATCAAGAAGACAAAGAGAGGGATGTGTGTAGCTTTATATTAATATGGAGGCATGTAGATAAAAAGTATAAAAAAGCACCCTCAAATAATAACCAAAATAGATTTATATTATAAATTAAGATAAAACAATAAATTTTTTTCACATAAAAAAATAAAATAGCAAACTATAATGCTCTTTTTTCTTAGGAAAGGGACATTAAAAAATGCTGTACATTAAGACAATCATTGCACTCCTTATATTTAACAGATCTCCACACTCACATTTGCTACCCATAATTTCACCAAGATCATTTCACAGTTCTTTGAAATAAAATATTCTACTTTGTTATTCTAGAATTGCACTAATATGGCATGCTGTTACTGAGTACTTGAAATGTCGCTAGTCCAAGTTGAGATGTAAATGTAAAATATATTCCAGATTTCAAAGATTTAGTATGAATAAAGAATGTGAAAATATCAATTTTATATGGATAATATTTTTGAGACATTACATAACATTAAGTATATTACTGAATTAATTTCACTGTTTCTTTTTTAGTTTTTAAATGTAGCTACTAGAAAATTAAAAGTTATTTATGTGGCTCCCATTGCATTCTATTGGGCAGCACGGGGCTAGACCATTTAAAAATGAAGTGGATATAGCTTTAACTTACTACAAATGTTATATTGTACACTCACTATCTGCCTTTGGAAATGGGAATTATAAAAGAACAATCCAGCTACTTGTATGCATGCCTGTAATTTTTCTAATAAACACATAATACTTTTTAAAAAGAAAAAGTACAATTGAATTCTGTTTATAATTTTCAAAGGTACCAAAAATGTAGGACTGGCATTTTAAGATAAGTAGCTTAAATAATATGCCACATTTAAAATTAAGATTCCAACAATGGATAAACTAAATTACCCTATTATTTGTGAGATATACATTTTTACCTTATAAGAGGTACAAAAAAGAGACACAGAGGAAAGAGTAGAAAATGGAGGGAAACCAAGAGAATTCACTGTCTACCTGCCCAGAGATTAGAATTCTTTTCTAATAGAGGAAATTCTTTGCTCATAGAGGAAGCTCTACCACTCAGCTGACAGTTGATGGGATTACCCAGCCAATGTGCTCATGCTTCATTGTGCGTTTCATGACAAACAGGAGCTGCTTTCCTGGCACAAAGAAATTAAGAATACATTCTTGGTCAATAATAATGTGACATACAGTGTGGGAGATTTCCTTTTCTTTTCATTTCTATAATATTAATAAGGCATTTTAGAATAAATCTCAATAGTTAACAATCACTTGACACAAAGGGACTTGTGCATAAATTACTTAAAATGTGATTGGTTAATGTTTCTCAGTAAAATACATCATGATGTTTTATTTTTTTCCCTCTTACTAGTTAAGGGTAGTTTATTTTAATATGTTGCTTTTATATTGTTTTCTTTCTGGCAACAGAGAGGAATACTTGTGCTGAAAAGCTCCTGATAGTGGCATGATCCCATGTATCTTCAGTCCTTTTAATGAAGTCCTATGAAATTAGACTTTCTATTTATACTCTGGTGCATTAAGTTCATCTGAAAAAGCAACTGGAACAACAACTCCCTGTCGGTGCAGCTCTCGAAGAACATCTAGTATAGAATCTAATTCCGTGCGGAACTTGTCCAGCTCTCGATTCTTTAGCTGTGCAAGTCTTTTCCACTTCTCAATTTCTTTGTTTTGCTCAGTTTCTACTACTTGGTGTGTTTGCTGTATTATCTGAAAAAAAAAAAAAAAAAAAAAAAATTCCACATTACTACAACAGCTCATATTGGAATGAAGAACACTCACCAGTCTCAAAGAGCTGAAGTGGACAATGGTGAGTGTGACCAAACTGAAAGAAAGAGGGGAGCAGGCGTGGAAGCCTTACCTAACAGGCTCAATTTTGTTCATCAAACAAGCTTATAGGCTAAGAAGTGGGAAATTTAGACTCTAAATTTCTGAGTTATATTAGTGTATTAATCTAAATATAAGACTGAGTTTTATAGTTAAAATTTTTTTTAAACCATGTAAATAAAAGTAATAACCAAAAAACCAAACTCACTGCCACTGAATCGACTCTGACTCATAGTGAGCCCCTTTGGGTTTCTGAGGTGGTAAATCTTTATAGAAGTAGACTGCCCAATCTTCCTTCTGCAGAATGGATGGTGGATTTGAACCTCCAGCCTTCTGGTTAGCAGTCAAATGTCTTAGGCATTACACCACCAAATCTCCTTAAATAAAATACTAACTCAAACATTTCTAATACCTTGGCATGAATCTGAACATCCAAAAAATGTTCCCATCAAGACAGTAATTGATAGGCAATTAAGACAGTCTTAGTATACAGAGTAAAGGCTGGGAACGCCAGAACCTCTGTAAGGCAGAAACCTGTCAGAGAAGGAAAGCTAAAATATTTTCCACTAATAAAAAGGCCCAGAAAAGTGGTAAGACTGCACCTTGTCAAAGGTGGAGAACTTGTGAGACAAAGGCAGTCCCATCGAGTTCCAACCCCCACAGGTTTCACTGTAACACGTCACTAACAAACTGAGATGTAAATGTAAAATACACTCTAGATTTCAAAGATTTAGTGTCAATAACGCAAAACGTGAATGCAACCATTGCCATCAGGTCAGATCCGACTCATAGCGACCCCTCCTTGAGTTTCCAAGGTGGTATCACTACAGAAGCAGATTACCCAATCTTCATTCCGAGGAGTGGCTGGTGGGTTTGAACTGCTAGCCTTCTAGTTAGCAGTCAAATGCCTTAGGCACTATGCCACCAGAGCTCTCAGTATGAAGAAGGAATGTAAAAATATCAATATTAGAAATAATAATGACAAACACAAATAGCATCTATCATGAGCCAGGCCATTTTAAGCATTTCACATATGTTAACTCATTTAATTCTAGCAACACACTAGGCCATGTTGTTGTTGTTGTTATGTGCTGTCGAGTTGAACCCAACTTATAGCAACCCCTGCTTGGGTTTCCGAGGTGGTATCACTACAGAAGCAGATTGCGCAACCTTTCTTCTGAGGAGCGACTGGTGAGTATGAACCACCAGCCTTCTGGTTAGCAGTCAAATACCTGAGGCACTATACTACCAGAGCTTCCCACTAGGCAATAGACGCTATGATTTATCCTGATTTCACAAATAAATAAAAGGAGGTACCAAACCCAAACCTTATTGCTGTCAATTCAGACTCAGCAACTTTACAGGGCAGAGTAGAACTTCCCCATAGGGTTTCCTAGGCTGTAATCTTTATGGCAGCAGACTGCCATGTCTTTCTCCCACAAAGTGGCTGGTGGGTTCTAAGTGCCAACCTTTCAGTTAGCTGCCAAGCATTTAATCACTCTGCCACCAGGGCACTTAAGTAGGAGGCACAGATAAGTTAAAAAATAATCTCCCCAAAGTTCACACACAAATCATTGGAGGCAGAGCCAGGAAGCCTGTCCCTGAAGTCCCTGCTCTTAATTGTCACCTAGACAGCTTCCCTCATGTTGATTAATTTCTTCAACTGTGAAATGAGGGGATCTTGTCCAGTAATTTACTGGTATTTTCAAAATGCCTGGCCATTACAGGCATTAGTTACAGGCATTACAAACCACAGAAAGCTAGACATATGAAAAGAACTAGTTAAGACAATAAACAATAAACCAATAATGTTAGTTTAAACATGTTGAACCAGCCCAAGATAATTTTTATCTAAGATTTTTTCTGGTTATAGAATAACTTCATAATTCAACATATAAAGTGAAATAAAGCCAATCAAAAATATTCTATATATAACAAGTGCTAGATTGAGGAGAATACAAAATGCTGCATAAATTTTCAGTTCTAAGTCCCTTTTGGATATTTACTATATATTGAAATTAATTTGGCATTTTACCATGCTGTATATGAAATTGGGATCCATCACCTTCTCTATAATTCAAGGATGTCCTAAAAGTCCTACTACTTTTTTGCTTAAGAAAATAAAAAGGTTACATTTTATAACCAGGGTCTTTAAATAAATTTAAAAAAAAAGCAATTGCTATCAAGTTGATGCTGACTCATAGCAACCCTAAGGGGCAGGGTAGAATGGACCCACAGTGCTTCCAAGACTGTAAATCTTTATGGAAGCAGATTGCTTCATTTTTCTCCCACAGAGCACTGACCTATTAGTTAGCAGCCAAGTGCTTTAACTACTGTGCCACCAGGGCTCTATTTTCCTTATTTTTCATTTAAATCATCTTTATTCTGTTTAAAGGACTGACTCTTTGTCTATGTACGGGTTCCTCATGAGTACAATTTAGTGTTCTCGAATTCTCACTCTTCAAAATGTCATCCATAATTTCTTCCTTTCTTTTTTTAATTGTGATTTGGGTGAAAGTTTACAGAGCAAATTCATTTTCCATACAGCACTCCACATATACTTTTTGTCCCATGACATTGACTACAATTTACCACAATGCAACAGCTTCCCTCCCACTTCCTCCCCATCTCTCCCCTGTGTCCTTCCCTCCATGCACTCCTGCCCCCTGAGCCATGTCCCTGTGCATACACAGCCCTTCTCTTCCCCCATGATTGTTCTTTCGAAGGAGTGTGTCTACCTAGTGTAAATGTTCACCTCATATGTCTGTCTTTTGTTTGGCTGGAAGCCACAGGAGTTGGTTCAATTCCAGACCTGAAGGGCAGGTAGGGGCCACACTCTCACTGGTTCCATCAGGCTCTATCAGACCAGCAAAACTGGTCTCCCCCTTTTTTTATTTTCCCAAAATGATTTTGAGTTTTGTTCCACATTGTTCTCCCTCTCTATCCAGGATCTCCTACACAGATCCTCCTCCGAGTGGTTGACACTGGTAGCTGTACACCATCTAGTTCTTCTGCTGTCATAGTTGTATAGGCTGAGGATCACATGGTGTACTAATCACATGGACTAACTGTTTCCGTGAATCTTAGGTTTTCTTCATTCTTCTTTGTTCTGGACTAGGAGAGACCCATCATTGCATCTAGATGGCTGCTTGCAAGCTTTTAAGATCCCAGTCGCTACTCACCAAAGTAGGACGTGGAACAATGTTTTGTGTAGTATATTATGACAATTGAGCCTGATGTCCTCTGTGACTATGATCCTGCAGGGCTCTATTTTCAATAAATACACATATGTAATTTATTAGTCACCTTTGTTTATAACAAGACTGTAAAATAACTATTTGTAATAAGAGTATAATATAGCATGTGCCTACAGTAAGTTACAATGCAAATCTAAAACATAGTTATTGACAACTCAGAAGCAATTCTAAAAAAAAATAAATAAATAATAAAGCTGCATATATGGGTAAGTCCTTGTGAAATTGAGGTACACTATGATGCCTAGGGAGCTCTGGTGGCGGAGTGCCTAAGGTATTTGACTGCTCCCAGAAGGCTAGAGATTCAAACTCACCAACCACTCCTCAGAAGGAAGGTTAGGCAATCTACTTCCATAGTGATATCACCTCAGAAACCCAAGGAGGGGTCACTATAAGTCAGATCCCACTTGATGGCAGTGAGTTTGGTTTTTTTGGTTATGATGCCCTAACTCTACTGTAGCTGATGGTTTCCTGGCATATAATGTGTTTTTCAAAGAATTTCACAAAAGTTTATGAGTAAGAATGAAAAATCAATTACACTGATCCTCCATTTCATAATATTTCTTAGTTTACTAATGATAAAGAGCTAGAATCTTGATATGATTAAAGAGAACTGGTGTTTCTCTGTGGAACTCAGGTCAACAACAAAGCTTTGCAAGTCTGTAATATCTTAAGTTTTCAAATAGTATATAAATTTATATGGCAAAGCTAAATATCAGCACCAGCACCAAGGAAACAACCTAATAACATACCTACTCTAACTTCTGCCATTTTTAATTTCTATTATGTATTTTACTCATGTAGTAATCATTATATTACTAGTGCTAGATATATATTACACATGATCACATTTTAATATAAATTTATTTTCTATAAGCATTTATTGAAATGACTTAAATATGACTTAAATATGAAGCGCCTCAGTGTTCCCAGAACAGATAAATTTTAAGCATCTCTCAATAATTAAGAATATGATACAACTTCTTTCTTTATTTCACCAGATAAAAGACAAACCAATCCTCAAATATTTGAAATTTAAAGATATTTTCAATGAAGAGCTATAAATTAGTAAGATTAAAAAATATAATGGAGCCACTTTAAGAAATAACTTTTGCCCGAGATGATGAAACCATAGAAACTTAGAGGCAGTAAACTAAAGCATCACACAAATATGTAGATGTGGTCGACAACCTGTTGAAGTTCTTGCTCTCTTTGCTCGTGTCTCATTTCCATCTGTTTAATTTTCTTTTCTAAGCCCATGAAATGTTTCATCTCGGGTGTATGGTTTTCCTTGGCTTCCCTCAATTCTTCTAGGAGTTTTGTAACCTAAAATTGAGGGCATAATGTAAATGAAAAACTAAGACAAAAATGAAATAATTTTCGGAAGAGGTAAGCATAAAAAACAAGAACATTCTTTTATGAAATTTCTCTAGTGAAGGGTCATCTTAACAGCAAGGGTATCCTGGGTTGTTAGAGTAATTAATACCTGTCATTCCCTATGCCCAGGGAGTAAATGCTCATCTTAGCTTTGAGCTGACCTCACATTACAAGAGGTTCCAAGTGATAGGAGCACTTTCTTCCTCCCATGGATACCAAGGTATTATAAAACTCAAAAACAAGTTGGACTAGGTGATGACCATAATAAATATCTATGGACCCAATGAAAGAGCCCCAAAATACATAAATCAGACTTTAAAAGAGTTGAAAAGCTAAATAAAGTTTTCAACATTAACAAAGATGAAGAAGAGCTAAACATTACAATCCACCAACTTGACCTTACAGACATCTACAGAGCACTTTACCCAACAGCAGCACAATATACATTCTGCTCCAGTGTACATGGAACACTTTCCGGGACACAGCAAAAGCAGTGATCAGAGGCCAATTTATAGCAATCAATGCACACATCACAAAAGAAGAAAGAGCCAAAATCAACACTTTAAACCAACATCTCCAAAAATGAGAGAAAGAACAGCAAGAAAAGACTACAGTCACCAGAAGAAAGGAAATAATCAAGATTTGAGCAGAAATCAATGAAACAGAAAATAGAGGGGCAATAGAAAAAATCAAGACCAGAAGTTGTTTTTTTGAAAAGATCAATAAAATTGACAAATCACTGGCAAATTTAACAAAGGAAAAGAGGGAGAGAATACAAATAAGAAATGAAATGGGTGACATCACAACAGAACCAACTGAAATTAAAAGGATAATATCAGAATACTATGAAAAACTGTACTCCAACAAATTTGAAAATCTGGAGGAAATGGACAGTTTTCTAGAAACACACCACTTACCTAAACTAACACAGACTGATAGAAAAGTTGAACAGGCCCATCACAGAAGAAGAAATTGAAAAGGTCATCAAAAAATTACCAACTAAAAAAAGTCCTGGCCCAGACGGTTTCACTGGAGAATTCTACAAAACATTCAGAGAAGACCTGA